TGAGGTAAAAGTGGGAGTCAGTTTCTATTATTGAGGTTTCAACATGAGGCTTTTGAACCACAGCAACTTTCTAGCAGAGGGAAGTGGGCAAGATGACTCTGAACTAAAAGAGATGCTAGACTGGTGGGAAATTGAGGGAACAGTCGTGGAATTCAGAGCACTAAGGCAGGAGGGTTTCTCTAGAAGTTATCTAGTCTCTTGCCACTCTAAGTGTGAGCTATGCACAAGTAAAAGGGTCACAGTTTGGCGGGTGGAGGAGGTACTCTCAGGAATGCAACCTCTCAGGTCCGCTCCAGCTTTTCTGAATGAGAATCTAGATTTTACTGCAATCCCCACATAATCCCTGGACACATTTACACTTAAAAAGAAAGCACTGGTCTAGTCTACACCCCTGATTGCAAGAATGCTTTTCAAGAGAGGACAATTTCATTCTTTCCCCCTGCTCTCTTCTTCTTCCTCTTTTTTTTTTTTTTTTTAAATAAATTTTTACTCTCTACTCTCAAAGCTCTTTTTTGGATTCTGGACCATCCCTTCACCAAAATTTTTCTCACATTCCCTTTCACCTCTTTTTTTTCTCTGTATGTTACTCCCTCCTTCCATACCTCCAGAATGTACATTCTGCTCTTGTGGCCATCTGGATCCTGCCCAAAGAAGGCCTATTCTGAAGTTAAAGCAGTTAAAGTGGGAAAAGCACTCAGCTTTGAGCAAAAAAAACAAAAAAACAAAAAAAACAAATTCATGCCTCAATTCCACGGAGTTCTGAACACATGTCATTTTATTTTCCTTAATAACACCCATTTTCCTGAATGCAGATATGAAATGTAATACTGTATGTAAAATAACTTTATGAGCTATAAAACATTAAAGATATGTCTAAGATCTTGTTCCCCACGGGGCTGTTTCTGAACACATGCTATTCATAAAGGGGCAGTACTGTGTAAAGTTTAAGAGCATGAGCTCAGAGCAGATTGCCAGGGTTCAAATCCCACTTTACCATTTTCTGGTGATCATGTTTGACTCAACTTCCCCATTTATAATAGGACCCACCTGTTAGTTACCATGACAGGGCTGTCATAAAGAGTAAAAGTTTATGCATATGCCATACCCAAACATGCCTTGTTCTATAATGTCAGCTGTGATTACTTCTTGTCCATAAATGTCTGTAATATCCATAAATTTCAACTATGATTAATGACTACAAAGTACAGGTAACTTTACACCTGAGAACTGTATATACATAATCTCTAAGAAAAACACAGAGACATGGAATACATGAACAGGGAACACACTCAGGGGGCCTTTGACGGTAAGGAGAAAAGGGAAAGAGAGAGAGATCCAGAGATACTAAGACAGAATTTATGTCAGGCTAAACAACAAGCAGAGCTAGAAAGACAAAGGGGGTAGACTTCATATTATTCAAGAAATATAAGCATTTGTGGGAGGAGGGTTATCACTGCAAGAAAATCACTATTTGTCACAGAAGAGAGCCAAAGTGGACTAAAATCCTAAATCAGGTGCTTGATCCCCTGCCCCCATGTAATTGACATTATTGCACAAGAAGGCCATTTCTACATAGTAGATGAATAACATTGCGCCGTGCTCTTAAATAAACCAGTTCACATTCATAAGAACATGATTTTTTTGCAACACAATAAAAGTTTGAAGATGCCCCAAAATGCACTTACCCTGGATCTCCAGAAAGATCTCTATATGCCTGCCTTTGATGTCATTATTCTCTGTATGGAAGTTTTTAGTTACCAAGACAGAGCCCTGACCTTAATCGTTCCTCTGCTGGCCACATAGAAGACCATGAGTATTCTGTGAAATGTAGCTGTGGCCCTTTCCTGAAGCCTTGGAAATCCCCATTTCAGTCATTCCTCCAGGCCCATCTCCCATTCTGCGATTGATTACGGCTTCTCACATCCCATTTTAGCCGTGGTCCACTTTCGAAGGGTCTTCTGTCCAGTCTTTTTTGGGGGAGTGTTTGATGTGTGCCTGGATAATAACTTCTTAGATAGCTGACTCTGTCTCTGCAGCCTAGTCCAGCTCTATGACTTCTGGTTTTTGGGATTTAAGTCACCTCTTCCAAGTTCCTTGTGCATTCGCCTGTACTCCTGCCATCAAATTAAAGACTGTGGCCTTGACAGATGGTCTCTTGTACAGTATCAGGTAGAATCCTGCTACTTCACAAATGCCCCAAGGTTAATAGAATAGGATCAATAGGAAAGCGAAAATGATGATGACAATCAAAACTAATCTTAAGGAGAATGATCAACTAAGTGAAATTTAAACTTTGTTCTTCTCTTTTGCACTACAGAACCTTTTCTCTTCCAAGTTTCTCTTGCTTTCTCCCAATGTTCTCATTCTGTTTTATGTGGAGCACAACACTCCACCATGCCACTCAACTCATCACGGGTCTGTCTCACCATCCAGAAATGTCACTGTTATGTATCCATTTCTTAACCTAAGTATTTCTCAGAGGAGTCTCAGGAATTAAGTTATTATTTAAAAAATGGGGGAGGTTAGGGAAAAAAGATCCAACACCTTAAAGTGCTTAAGATCTGACCGGATGAAACAAAATTCTTCAGTATGAGGAAGTGCCTATTGGAACAAATTCCATCTAGTAGTCAGAGAATAAATGGGCTGGCTCCTCACTACTGGATCCTTAGGAGACTGCATTTTGTAACGAATGAGGCATAACGAGAGAAGATTCCAAGAATGCTCCATCCTGTCTCGGTTATTCTAAGATGTTGATTGAACTAGCCAGATCATTTCCAAAGTTCTCTAAAATAATTACACATATGAAACTCCGTAGATGGCTGTTGGAATCCAAAAGATTCTACAGTTCCATTGAGAATTCAGTTACCCACCTTGCCCACTGATACCAGGGCACTGGGTCGTGTGATATTAAAAACACATGTTTGATAAAGAGTAATTTAGTAACATTTCCAAACACTTTTCTGTTGGAAAAGTGGTTTTTAAATAATCCCCAATATCTATTGATTACAAGCACATTCACCCACACATTTCTAGGTATCAATGTGTTTTTTATTTCATTCAGGCTTGTGGCCTCACTGTCTCTTTGCCATTCACCTCTCTGTCTCTGTCTCTTGAATTATTTAATGTTTTTCCCAGTTAATCTAAATTAGAGTTGCTTTCGTTTTTAAGGGGGATGGGAGGAAACTAAAAATAGTCACTGAAGCCAGGATATATTACACCAACTGCCTTTGCCTCTGGTGGTTACTGGAGTTTCCTTTGTTGTCTTGTTTGATTGTTTCATTTATATGGCAGGTTAGACAGCAACAGACTTCTGTTATTGCCTTTTCTCAGTGGTGGATTTTTTAGGCTCAGATCCCCCTAAGGCAGCCACTCCCCATCCACAGCTGGTGACAAGAGGTGCTGTTGCTCTCAGTACTTACACCTACTGGAGAAAGATCAACAGAGATGCTATTAAGTGGCATAGAGTGTCTGCATTTTTAACTGTTTAGGTCTTTGTTGAGAGAAACAGGAAGGAGAAAAAATGAAAGAGACCTAGAAAGGATAGGGAGAAAGAACACTGAACAATTTACATCTTCCAGATTCTTTATGTACTACTTTTGCAGATGTAAAATTGCATTTTTCTTTGTTCCTGCCTTTCCACCACCAGCTTCCACCCTCTCCTTTGAAAATGTTCTGCTTTTTCCTGTTTTTCAAGAGTCAGAAATAATCTCTTAAATCAAATGGTAATACAAGTATGTTAAAGTGGAGAAGACAATTTTTAGGGAACAGGGTTTTTATAATACACTGAGAGTATGAGGATGGGTAATTCAGTACTTGGGGCTATTTTTTAAAGTTCTCCCAGGAAACTTTAGGTCATTAGTTACTTTCTAACTTTCCATTACTCTTTCCACTAATGTGACCACAGAGTGTCATCCTTGGCATAAAACTGGGAATGAGGAGATTTATGGAGGACAAGGAAGTGAAACTTTCTGAAATTAAACAGATTAGATGACTCTGGTAATACTTAAGGCAATAAATTAGCACTGCAACTTGAGAAGAGACCCTAAAGAATCTTGGTCATTAGGAGAGAATTTCTGTCCTCTTATCTTGTCTCCTTCAGGCATCTCAGCTGCCTTTTTTATTTCCTTTTAGTTCGCAGAGCAGAGAGCCAGGGGAAGGAGCCTCCAGGAATTCACTGTTCAATTTTTTTGGTCTGTTTATTTTTCATTAAGGGCATAAAATGCCAGGTAAGGAAATGTAAGGTTAAAGACATCACCCAATCTTCAGAGGAACTTAAGACCAAGACCACCTGAGCACTTTGTATGTGCATACACTGAAGCCTACACTACCACATGCCAAAAGAAAAATAAAGAATTTTAAGAATGCATTTTTTAAAAAGGAAGGTGACCCTGTAGCCAGGTACCTGAATTTAAAACCGTAACTGCGAAGACCTACTAAAGGAGATTATAAGAGAAAAACTGGAGACTTTTTCTCATAGTAATAATAATGCAAGACTCCAGGTGCCTAAGAGCCCTCGTTACTTGCTAAATAAAATCAAAGAGGCTGGGGTAGTAGAGATGGCCTGCTTGTGGTGATCTTATAACTGGGAATTGAAAAATGAGTAGGATTTAGAGAAGTACTATAGATAGAAGGCGTTTTAAAATTTCCCCCTCCTTTCATAACCACAAACTTAAGAGTTAACCTTGGCTGCTTCATCTTTTAGAAAATACCCAAAGTTATAGCTTTTTTCTCATTTGAATAAACCAGATGAACTTCAGTAAACATACTGAACTTATGAGCAAAAATAATGAATACATGATGATATCATAACATAGAACATGAGCAGGAAAAAGGCCTTCAACATCCTGTGATTTCAGTCTCATTTCTAGATTAGTCTGTAATGGATGTTACAGTATTTTAAAACTGTGAAACACTTTCATGGAAACATATAATCATGAGAAAAATATAACCATGAGTAATTTATAAAAGCCATTGCACTGTGTTTCCATGGTATAGAATAGGGACTTTTTTTTCCCATGAGGCATTTTATTTGTAAATATGTATTACATCTCTAGAAAAAGAATCCCAGGATTTTCCCTCCTGTGTTTTCTCCTTGCTTCTTCGTGGTCCATGATGTCAACTGCTTTTGTCAGTACAATGAAACCAAACTGGTTGGATGGAAACAGATTATTCTGCCATTTTTCTAGATTGTTAAGTTGCACATCAAATCTGGGGCTGATCACTCCACACTTGTTTGGCCTGCCTGTGAGGCTCACAACAGTTTTCCTAGCTCTGTTATCATCAATGATTTCAAATTCGCCAATGTTATCTTGCTTCATCGTCACAGTCAGAAACCGGATGATGACTTTGGAGCATGGTCTAATAAGAACCTGGCATTTGCCTCTTTTCAGCTTTATTGATGCTCTTGAGAGCATTAGCCGGATGTTCATGTGCACATTTGTGGTGTTGCAGAAAGGTGGCAGAAAGAGAAACACAGGGACATTTTTAAAATAAAATCTATTTTATTCTAAGACAAAATATAATTCAAAATTATATAATGAAATACTTCTAACATAATTATTTATTATATACAGAAGTAAATTTATATTTTTCCCATGTAACAAATATGTACAGCTTAGCTTACTATTTAATTATGTAAGAAAAAGCCTTATTTATGTGCAAATAAATTTTTTAATGTGTTGAATTTGAGAAGTATTATTTGTATTAAATATAGATTGAGAATTAACGGTTTTGCAGCATCAGAATCTTAAAAATACTATAATCACCTGTTATATGGAATTCTTGCACTTTAATTATCATTTTTTTTTAATTTTGTTGTGCTTCTAAGGACAAGGTAAGAGAAATTTGGGGGCTGCTATTTATATTGTATCTCTACAAATCATGTGTTTAGGTTGGGTAGTCTTTATATGCAACAAATTAATAGCCACATTGGCCATAATCATTGCTGTATTTCCCACATTCATTTGGAAATATTTTTAAAACCCTGATCATATGAGTGCACCAAACAGGTTCTGAGGTGCCTTTGTAGAGAGCCAGCACAGTGTGATGGGTAGGAGAGATACCCTGGAGCCAGATACCTTAATTTAAATCCACTTTCCCTGCTTCCTTGCCTTCCGAATATGCAGCTTTCTAGTTGTGTGACCTTTCTGCACCTCAGCTTCCTCATCTGCAAAATGGGGACAACAACAGCACCCATCCCATGAAATAATTAGGGGGATTGAATGAAATACTATATTTAAGAAATTAGAACAGTACCTAGCACATAATATCTTCGATAGCATTATTAAATAATCACTTATATTCTAATTCCAATTAAAATTAAAATATCAGTGTTTTTATATCCACTACTTGTGTAAATTATGCCCTGATTTCCAAGAGTAAAATGATCCTAAAATGTGTAATGATTATAATTGCGATGTTTTCATTTTTGTTTTTCTATTAGATAGCCAAACCCCAGTGACTGAATCACATGCACGATTATAGAATCTATCAGCCAGCATGCAAATTCTGTCCTTATTTACATAAGTTCAAGTTCCTTCTACTTTAAGGGAAACTATTTAGATAATTATTTTTTAGGTAAAATTGAAACTGACATCATTACCACCTTATAACACAGAACGTTTCAGGAACATCTTTACCAACTCCATAATTTAGAAAAGTGACCAACAGCATCTCTAGGTTTGAAGCCAGTTCAAAGAATTTTGGAAAGCCTTATTTGTATTTTGACTCAATATAGGGAAATATTTTCCATTCCTTGTGAGCTTATATACTCTGAGAATTCCCTGTACAGCTGTACAGACTAGATACTGCCTATCTCTAGGGCTCCTCAGCCATTTTCTATATGAATGCTGCCGCTAGAATTGTGCAACTGAGCAGGCTGAACACAGCAGTCCCCAAATGATCCCCTGGGCCATTAGAACCCACCTGTCTCTGTCACATGGCAATCCTCTTTCAAATACTTGGAGATAGCGATCACATCATTCCAAGCCTTCTCTTTTCCAAGTTAAACAGCATAACTTTCATCAATCCTGCTTCATATGGCATCTTTCCAAATCCTAAATTTGTTCATTCAACAAACACTTACTGGGTCCCTACACTGTGTCAGGTGGTGATACCCAGATAAATAAAACACAACCTCTGCCCTCAAAGTTTGTATAGTCCCTGCCCTAGCCTGGTAAGACCCTCCTTATTTGCCTAGGATGAAACAACGTGTTTGGTTGATGAAGTCTGAGTTGTATCTAGCTTTCTCGATTGCCACAGCATACTGCCAAGCTCGCTCAGTGCCAAAGCTCACATAGTCTATGCTTAGCCACATCTTTCCTTGCCCAGGCTTTTGCAGTTTGGTTTGCAGAGCTTTACAATTTTTCCTGCTGAATTTTATTTTCAACAATTTAGACTATCAAGCCCCAGCTATCAACAATTTTTACACATTTAAGATGTTCGCTTTTATTCCAAATGATACGGCATTTGAGTTATCAAATAAAAATATTGAGCAAGGCAGAGTCTAAGAGGGAGCCCTGCCATATTTACTCACATACAATCAGTGGTCCTCAAATTTGTCCACAAGGCTCTCACAAGGAGCTTTTTCAAATGTTTCCCCAAAGTCTCACTCTTATGTCAATTACATTTCCCTCATTATTGGTCTAAGGATTCTCTCAAAGGAAAAACTGAAGATGGAAGGAATTGCTTGCTTTTGGTGACCCCTATATTGGTTCTTAATGGTCGCTACTACATTCTCTAGGGATTGTTAAACCAGTCTTTCACTTTTTTAAAAAACTGATTATTTGAGGATGGAAGGAAGAATACTAGAATTAAGAGCCTTGGTAATATGCTTGGAACATCTTCCTTTATTCCTCTTAGAAATCAGCCTGAAAACTCCAGATCTTCAGTTTTTCTGTCATCTCTCTTGCTTTCTCAAGATTTCTCCAAGATCAAGGATTACAGTTCAGCCATTTGAATTGCAAATCCCTTCTGCAGAACTGAAGATCAGGATAGAACTCTCCAAAGCTGACAAGAAACATCCCTTGCCTCAGACAAGATCATCCTAATTAATAATAATCACAATAATATTGTGCTCTGCATTTTATCCAGGGACACCTGAACAACAGAATGCTTTATGAACGTTATTTAATTAAGTCTTATGACAGTCCCGTGAGGGGAACTGGGAAACTGAGAGATTGGCTTAATCTCTGCATAGGTGTGGAGACCTGTCAGGAGAAGCAGGGCAAACGTGCAGGAAGACACAGGCTGGGAGGTTAAGCAGAGAATGGGGATTGGTAGCAGATGTGCCTTTAAACCTTTCTAAGCAGCTACACACCTGGAGGAAATACCCACATCTGAATCCTTCTGAAGTGCTCCTGTGGAGTTCTATGTGTGTCACTCCAAAATAATAGCAATGTTCTGTGTAATTCAGCAATTTTAAATTCACTAAAGCAAACACTTGTTAAACAATGTTTGCATTCTCTCTCTCTTTTGCTGTCCTCCCTCCCTCTCTGTGGCTGCCTCTTTGGGGCTCAAATTTGTCAGCCACAAGACTGACTGAAGCGCAGGCAAGTAAAGCAAATAACCATATTCATTGTCCATGACAAACCCAAACCATATTCCATCACATCCCTGTGGTCTGGAGCCTCAAAATCTGGCCTGGAGACAGCTATTTCAGGGTCATCAAGGGCCATGCCATTCTTGCCCCGAAGGTACATATGACACCAGGTATACTGCATGGACACAGGCTGGTGCCTGTTCTGCCCTAGAAAACTAGATTATTTAAATGACTCCCCTGAACAACTAAAAGAAAAACTGAATAAACAGTCCAACCTTTTTGTGAAATTTCCTTGAGAAGCAAAGTGTGTGTGATATTGGATAATGACAAAAAATAATACTTTGTATCTTATTATACTTGACTTATAAATATAATATATGGAGACTATTTTTTTTTTCATCATGGGGACTTTTGAAGTAAAACTATTGCCTCCCTGAGAAGTACTTAGTAAACTAAATCGTCTAACTTAGCATGCAACCACAAAATCAAGGTATGTTGAATTGAATTAAAATAAGTTCAATGCTCTTTCCCAACTGACTTTTCTTCCCTGGCACTTCACCACCTCCTAGCACTCACACCTTTGAGAAGTTTCATAACATGGTCCCCTGGCTGTGGTTCACTTCTTCTGTATCCACACCTCACACTTACATCTCTGTGGACACAACAATGTACAAGAGGAGAGCAGAGAAAGAAATAACTAGTTAGTGAGATAAGCATCAGCAAATGATCATTTAGGTTACTACATAATCTGTGTCAGAAACAAGCCTGGAATGTCATCACCTGTACTTTGTGGGAAATTGCCATATTTCTCATTTTCACATTTTCATCACAGAAGGAAGCCAGTACAGCAGGCATCACTGAGCTCTGCACATTTAAAACTGCCCACACCTTATGAACTCCTCATATACATATTTGAACATGGAGAGAAAAAATACATACATATTTAAATATATATTTTAAATCATATACACACACACACATATGTATGTATATATACACACCATATATATTCTCACCTCATCTATTCACTAGCAACACAGATTGCTTCAGAGATTAGGAAATGAAAATCTATTTTTGGAGAGAAGACTGATCTTTCATACAGATTGTCCAGAAAATGACCCAGCCTGCCACCCATTCAGACCTCAAGGCATCCAAGTGCTGCTTTGTTCCAATGCTTACATCTATTCAAAGTTTATACTCCAAGATTAAAAGAGCCTCCTTGAGCCAAAAGAAAAGGCTTCATTGGCATTGCTGCTGATGCCATTCTCCCTGTGTCTGCCGTACACGAGAGAAAGAATGAACCTAGGCTTTTCAAAACTGGCTGCCCAATTATATTTTTAAAAGATGTTTTGCTGACATCTAGAGGCATTTGGGTAATAACACTTATTAATAATGATTCTTCCCACTTATAGGGCGTCTTGCGTCGCGTGATCCCTCAGCTCTTTACACACATTAATTAATTACGCATCACAGCACCCCTGTGAGGTAGAGTAGGTGAGCATTATTATGTGCAAAGGATTTATTGATTTTTCAAAGCAATATATAGCTGAGGCACAGAGGGGAAAACCATAGGAGCGTGAATTAAGGAAGAAAAAAAAATACAATGAATGTAAAAGAAAACAAATAAAAGTAAAAATTACCCCACTGTGCCCTTTAGAAAGGAGTGATTACTTCACACGTTCTGAGGGCCTGAACATTAACTAATTTGGTTGTTAGCAACTTATGCAAAGGCACATAGGAAATTGGAGGGAGGGAGTCATCGATAAAATTTCCAAGTCTTCCTTTGCACTCCTGTTGACAGTGCCCTCAGCTCTTGATTTTCCTGCAGCCTGGGAAATCTCACTAGTCACTGAGGGGCATGACATCAGGATGGCCCTTAAATTTACAATGGAGGCATATTACCTGTTTATGGTAGGGGTGGGTGGGGTGTGTAATAAAGGAGGGGGAGAACCACAGCCAAGTTTCTATGCA